ACTACAGGATGAGGATCTAAAGGTATCTTTCCTTTTTCTGTTTACATCGTGGGCACAACTCTAATACTAGACCTAGGTCTGAGGTCTAAGTTTGCCCGATGGTTCCCCTGCCCTACGTGATTGCCAGGAGTTGTGCTTGGTTCCGTGTTTCACATTCCAATGTTATTATCAGCTAATTCACTACTAAGTATGAGCTCTGAAACTACATCTGAGTTGCAACTTTCAATATCCTTGCTAAAATTGTCATTATAATTGCAAAAAATCTCAAAATAAGCGCGTTTATCTAGACATCATTACGAACGCTTGAATCCGGATGACCACAGTGACAAAAGGAAAACATTGCAAATCGGTAGATGTGAGCACATCATCTGCTACACAAAAACTACCAGGCCTACCCGTAAACAAGATCCTAAACGAAATTTTTAATTAGTGGAAAGTTAATGATATTTCCTGTGGCGTTTCGTTTCCCACAACTTACAAGGTGAATTAGAAGCGCTTTCATGTTTTGACACTGACCCCACAAGGGGTGCGGGATCAGACATAATAGGTAGTCAGCCTGGGTTCTCGCAACAGGCTTGGGAAAAAGTCTCAAGTGAGTTAAAACAGTACATGTAAGTACCAGAAACTAAATCTTCAAAGTAGAAGCTGTATTATGCCAAATTTATCTGTTTCATATATAATATTATATATATATATGAAAGGCTTATATTATATCTCCTGAGAATTTCGGTGCCATTCTTTAACCTCTCACTCAATTTTTAAGAAAATGCAGGTGTTTAAAATTTGATCAAATTTGTTAAAAGTCGCTCACTGGCTGCAACCCCATGTTTGACAGATAATAAAAGAGTACCAAGCGCACCAAACATCTCCACATTAACTCATTCGCTAATAATAATATTATTTTCGGCTTGTGGACGAATTTTTTTCGGGAGGGCGAAATGAGATAGTGACTGGTGCGCAGTTCACTTGTCTTTGAGGCCACAAATTCAAATAAATATCAACATATTACAGACCAAAATTTTCAGTATGGTTTGTAGAATACACCTGTAATGTTTATTTGTGTATTTTTCAACTTTGGATGGTTCCTGTAAGAGGCGACGATGAAATACAATTTTGCCCGGATGTGGATAAAATTTTAAAATATAAAATTAATAATCTTTGGTGAAACTACAAAAATATGTTTGCACCTATACATGTAGTCAAATGATACATCAAAATAACCATAAATGAATACCTACAGAACAAGAAATTAGTGAAAAATTTGCAGTTATTATACGTTTCAAAAAATGTGTACATATATAGATCTATATATGAATCATAACATCCGATATATTGAAAATTTTTAAACATTTTTTTTATAATCTTGAAAAAAGGACAATGATGCATTCACAAACAGAAAAAAATCACTCGTATCTTTTTGTGAAATTATTCAGAATTGCATTTGGAATAAACCTATATACACATGTCTTGAATGGAACTTTTTGTGTAATTTCACCCAAAAATAGTGATTTCGGGGAGAAAAAAATATTTTGTTTGACAATTTAGATCTAGACCTAGATCTAGCACTGAAAAAATTGATTTCTCAATAACAAATCACTGGCAGTTTGAATCTAATAGTATCAATTATATTCTAAAGAAGAATCCTACATTTCTTTAGTGAGCAAAATAATGACACATTTTGTTGTGTAAAAGTAGGCGCCTACTACTACGGCTGGTGTCTGGAGTATAATTTGGGCATCGCGATAAAACAAGGTCGCATAAACTTCAAAATCGCGATTCAAAACTGAATCTTAACTTCTGATTCTCGGTGGAAACGCTTGACTCGGAAGTCAATGTTATTTATAACCAAGGAGCTTAGAACTAATGGAGTCTCCTCTCTCTCTTCGCGGCGCCACGAGCGGCACGCCGAGGTGGGGAGCAAATATGGCCGCCAACTGTGGTCTAAATCACGAACTGCAGCGGGCTGGGCCACGTTGTGGGGGTGGGCGGGGTGGGGGAATGCACGCAAGGAAGAGGGGATGGGGC